TGTTTCGCCTACAATCCCCTTTAAATGTTTACGAGAGCTATTTACGGCTCACGCAAAAGTATTATTTTTCTTATAAAAGTATAATTATCTTTTTAAATAATAAAAAACACAATGTCATTTTTAAAAAATTAATTGCATAATATATTGAAATGCTTTTTAAAAGGCATGGTTGTTGCAAAAAAAAAATTAGAATTAAAAAAGAGTGCCAATTTAAATGAGGAGCAGCTTGCACAGCTCCCCAAGTTCGTTTTAGGAGAGCTTTTCTCTGCTCTCGTACTCATTTATTCCCGCCAAGGCCTATATATATATATATATATATATATATATATATATATATATATATATATATATATATATATATATATATATATATATATATATATATATATATATATATATATAACTTATAATATACATTATGAATATAAATATAACATATACATTATAATATTACTTTGAAATTTACATTATAAAAGTAATATGTTTAAAAAAAACCCACAGTAAAATTTACTTACATATCAAAAAAATTTTAAATGTAAATCCAACTTTAAGTTATTATTCTTTTAAAAGCAAATGGTTATTAAAAGTAAGTTATTTGAATTTTTATTTTTAGTTTACAATTAGTTTATAGTTTGTTTTTCAAGTAGATTTTTTATTCATTAAGTTTATTTTTTAAGTAATCTTTATTTTTAATTGAAATTGAAAGTTTAAAATGTAAATAAATTATGTAACTTATGTAAGTTTAAAAAAGTTTTTACTCTTTGTCTGAAAAGAGTACTCTATCATTATTGTTAAACTAAGGTGTTAAACTAAGGTGTTAAACTAAGGTGTTAAACTAAGGTGTTAAACTAAGGTGTTAAACTAAGGTGTTAAACTAAGGTGTTAAACTAAGGTGTTAAACTAAGGTGTTAAAGCAGCTTGTGAATAAAAAATTATATTGATTGAATTTTTATCCATCTTTAATAAAATATACAATCAAAATTACAAATAAATGCATAATTCTTATTAGTATAACCTAGATGTACTCTGAAGCATTTTTTGTAAATTCACTCATTTTTTAGTCTTGGTACTAAAAAAAAGTTACTTAAAGAAAAAAACAGTTTTTTTTTTTTGCTAAATAAAAAAACCACAGTTTTACGTGTTAATAGTTTTTCTTTTTAAACAAAATTGCATAAAAGTTTTGTAATTTAGTTTTCTTTTATATTTTTATTGAAGATTTTACACTTTTTGAAGAATAACTTATTGTTAATATGTCAATTTAACATATACCAAAAATATGACTGAATTTTTAGAATGATATTTAATAGTCTAAAAATATAGAAAATGCAGAATTTTTTTATATCTAAAAATTCATAATTTTTTGCTTAAGAAAGTTAATTAAATTTTAAGAGATTTTTGTATGAAGTTTTGCAAACAAAATTGTTTACTTTGTAAATTTTTGTAAACTTTGTCATGATAGCAATAATGGTTATCTAGTAAAAACATTTTACTAGTTTTAAACTTGTTTATATCTATTTTTGATTCAAGTTACATTCTTTAACACTTGTAATGAACATGTTTGTTGTTGTTGTTTTTTAGGATATAAATCACACAAAGGGCAAATTTTGAATGACTCTGAGCTGAAAAATATATTTGATGGTTTAAAATTGAACAATTTAGATCGTTATTCTCACTTACTAACAGGTTTTGTTTGTGGGTTTTTTTTTTCTACCTTTTTTTTTTGTAATTGTATTTATATTTTTATAATATTATCTTTTACTTATTGTGTACAAATTCTTGTTCTTGTTAATGTTAAAAAGAATTACCAAAGTTTGTTCTTTTTCTTTTTATAATAGATACTGTAAAAAATGCAAAACATTATGTAATGTGGTAAATTAAATATTGAATTTTTTTCAATTTTCTTCTACTTTAAAAAGGATAAAAGTTGTACTTCAAAAAACACAAAAGCCATAATATGAAAAACATAAAAGTTATACTAAAAAAAATAAATAACTGAAATAATTTGTTTAAATTTTGATTTTGTTTTGATTTTCAAAGTACCAAATGGTTTAACAACAAGTTTAGAACAAAGTATTTTATATTTTAAAAATAATATAAGTTAAAAAAATTTTTATGTGTAACTTTGTCATCAATAAATTAAAACAGTAAAGGGATCGATTATAAATTACATAATGCTATTTTTAGTTGGGTAGGCAATTTTGTATGCCTCTTTAGTTAAGTAGTATCTGTATTTCTGGTTTATATATGTATGTATATTATTGCTAGGATACTGTCGTTCAGAGTCATTTTTACTTGAAATTGCATCTGTGTTAAAGCACTTAAAAAGTATTAATAAAGAGTTGATATATGGTAAGTCTTTTTATGGTTTATGTTTGCTGTTTTGGTTTTTAGGTTTTTTTCGTTTATTTTAGCACAAACTAATTTTTTATGTAATCTAATTAAGATTTTAAAATATTTTTATTACACAACTTTTTTAGTTTGTGATCCTGTAATGGGAGATCAAGGAACCTTTGTAAGATATTGATCTTTTATTTGAAACATTCAAGTTATTAAATATTTATATTGCAAACATCTATCTAGAAATTTAGAAATGTTTCTTTTTATTTAAGATAATATTGGAAAATTCTTTAATATTACAAATCTTTTGAGTATCTAGATGCCTAATATTTAATATTTGAAAGGGTGTTTATTTAATTTTTCTAGATTTTCAACTTTAACAAAAAAGCAATGCAAAAAGCATTTATATCTTTGCCCCATTTATATCACATTATATCTTTGCCTGCATTCTCATTCTTCATCCTTGTCAAGCAGTGATATCACTCTCATTCTAAAGAGGATGAGAGTGATATCACTGCTTGACAAGGATGAAGAATGAGAATGCAGGCAAGTATACAATGTGATTGTGAAATAAATTTGTTTTTAATTTTGAAAAAAAAAAGAATATAAAAGGCATGATGAAATACATAGTAAAATTTTCTTTGCAAGTTTGATATCTTCAAAGCACTTGATGCCCTTATTTTAACTTTATTTAAAGTGTAACTCATTGCACAAGTGAGTTGTGCGATCTTTTTTGTTAACAGTGGAAATAGAAATGTCATATCAAACAGAAGTCTTTGCATAGCACAAATATTTTGCATCATTCTGCAAGGTTGATCTTCAAATTCTAACTAATTTGAAAATCACTAAACTAGGATATTTTTGGTTAACAGATGAAAATTCTGAAAATATAAATGCGCAATCTTTTTAATTGTCGATCTTAAATCTATTCCAACTTTTCTTTTTTTCATTGTTTTTCTTGGATTGAGCGGGGTTATTCACTTACCAAACTTTGTTTTTTGAATCACCTACCATTTCTTAGTCAACACAATAATGGTTAGTAGCAATAATTTTGTAATTTATAAGTAGCATTTATAACACAAGCATCAATTTCTTCTGAGCCGAATCAAAACATAGGAGTATAATTTTATTTATTTAAAAGTTTAAAAATTTTGTTCATAAAAATTACTTTTAAATGTGTTTCAATGTAATTTCAATTTCTTCTGAGCTTACCATGTATTATTCTAATGTATTCATTTTTATAATTTTTGTTTTGATGAGTGCTCAATCCAGGATATCATCTCTAAATGCCAAATGCTTTACAAGAATAAATTTACAGGACCTGTTTGTGTTCATATTATTCAAGATAGATCAAATGTCATTATAATTAATAATTACTCATTTATAATTTTTTTGATAATGATAGGGGATAATCAAGAGGCATTTTTTCAGGGACAGTGGGGAAGTTATTTGTGGATTTATAGTGTATAGATTACTAAGCTTTAAGAAATATTTATTGCTTTTTTGTAAAGATTTTATTTTTTTTATGTTATATGATGTTAATGATGATGATGATGAAGAATGATGATGATGATGATGATGATGATGATGATGATGATGATGATGATGATGATGATGATGATGATGATGATGATGATGATGATGATGATGATGATGATGATGATGATGATAGTTAATATTTTTTTTAATTCAGTACGTTCCACAGGCCTTACTTCCCATCTACAAAGATATTTTGATCCCTTTGGCAGACATTGTTACGCCTAATCAATTTGAGGCTGAGTATGTTGTTTTTAAAATTTGCAAATAATTAAAGATGTAATTACAATATTTTTTTTGCTAAAAGAGAATAAAAAATTTGATATGCTTGTTCCAATAAAATCTTGCACAACATGTAGTGGAAAAGTCAAAATTATAGTAATTTTTTTAATTATTTAATTTTTATATTTTTTATTTTTTAATTTTTACATTTTGTTATACAAATGGTAATAAAAATGTAATTTTCTTGACAAATATTTTGGATAGAAACTACATAATTCCTCCTGTTAGCACTAAAATTCCCTTAAATTCATCAAGGTTAGGGTTACAGCAACTATGAAGTGATGCTCAAGCTTTTTGATAATAATATATTTGAAAATTTTAAAAGATTTTAATAAGTTTAATAATTAAAGTTTTAATCATCAAGTCTATTATAATCTTTAAGTTTACTTTAGTAAACTTAAAGTTTGTGCAGAGATTTTAAACAGAGATGTTTAAGTTTTTAAAAGTCAACTATTTTTATTTGTTTTTTAGACAACTTTCAGGGGTTAAAATTTTGAATGAAAGAGATGCTTTTATGGTTAGTGATTTCTTTTTCCAATTTTATGGTTTGTAATATTCATTCATTTTTATGAGGAGATCTTGTATTAAAAGAATAAAAACGAAAAAGAAAAGAAATTTTATAATTAGTAAAATAAAAGAAAGATTTTTTATTTAGGCAATGCGCATGCTTCACAGTATTGGGCCATCTATTGTCATTATAACAAGTCTTTGTCTGGAAAATAGTTCTAAATTAATAATAATGGGATCAACGAAAGGTAAAAAGTTTAAATGTTTTTATAACCTTCAGATATGCAAAGTTTTGAGATATGTGAAGCTTTTTTAACATAATAGAGATTTTGTTTTAAAAAAAAAAATCAAGATTTTGTTTGAAAATAAAAAAAGAAGATTTTGTTTAAAAATTATTTAACAAATTTTTTCTAAGCTTTCTGGAACAATTATAATATTTAAGGAAAATTATTCTAATCTGTATTAACAATTATTTAAAGTTTGTTTTTTTAACTTTTGATGTTTATGTTGGCTTTTTGACCTAATTGATAATCATATAATAACTATACACAAGTACTAGTTATTCAGTTGTAAATTCTTTTTCTTTGAATTAATTATATATATATATATATATATATATATATATATATATATATATATATATATATATATATATATATATATATATATATATATATATATATATATATATATATATATATATATATATATATATATATATATATACCACAAATATGATTTGATTTAAAATATAGCAATTTTCAACTGATACAGCTTTGTCAAAATATCATATTTTAATGGGTAAAAAAGCTGTTTCGTCAAAAACAAAATGGCAAGTCATTGGAAAGCATAAAATGAAAATAAGCAATAGAGAAATTGGCAGACGCCTAAATATTTCTGAATTCAGCGTTCGTACAACAGCAAAAAATTATTTATCAACTGATAGTGTCAATAATAAACCTCGTACTGGGTGTCCGAAAAAACTGACAGCACGCGATGAAAACATGCTTTACATGCCAAGCAGACGTAACCCAAAAACGGGAGTATCAACTTTAAGTGCAGAAATCAATAGTTCCCTGGTAGACAAAACAGTTAGTTGAATGACTTATAAGTAAGTTATTACGCAAGAAAGAATTAAATTCGTTTCATTGTGTAAGAAAGCCTTTGTTGATGTTAACCAATCGTCAAAGACGAAAAAAATGGTGCAAATAGCGTTTAAATTATTCAGTAGAACAATGGAAAATGATTATCTTTAGTGATGAATCAAAAACAGAAAAAACAAGAGATTTGTTCGTCGCAAAAATACAGAAAATTATTTGAAGCAACATCTATTAAGCCGTATTCAAAAAGGCGGTGATTCCGTCAGCATATGGGGATGTATATCAGGCGTTGGCTGTCATAAAATATACGAAGTAAGATTAAATCAGTATGAGTATTGTGACATTTTAAAAATCGCGCTTATCCCTAGTTGCGATTTGTTCCAGGTTGATCAAAACTGGTTATTTCAACAAGACAATGTTCCATGCCATACAGCTCATTCAATCACTGATTATTTCCTTAAAAGTAATATTCAACTTATGCCTTGGCCAGCACGATCACCAGACTTAAACCCAATTGAAAATTTATGGAGCTGGATGGATTATCAACTAACAAAAAAGCAAATAACTAGTCACGAAATGCTCAAACAAGAACTGACCAAACTGTGGCTTGAAATACCAATCAAGATGATTGAAAACTTAATTGAATCAATGCCAAGGCAAATACAAGCATGTATTAAAAACAACGGGGGTCATATTCCGTATTAATATATTTCGATTAAAAGAAGCTGTGAGTGCGTTTAAACTTTATTACACTTTCTTCTAAGTAATCTTTTGATTACTTGAGTTTGTTGTTCAATTTCAGAAAAGATTTTGTGTATTTATATATATATATATATATATATATATATATATATATATATATATATATATATATATATATATATATATATATATATATATATATATATATATATATATATATAAATACATACACTACCATCCATAATTATTCAAATGATCGTACTATTTGATATAAGATATCAAAGTTTTACTTACAATTGCAAGAAAAATTGAAAACAAAGTCTATCTGAATTATGCTATCTTCCTATTTATTAAGTTTACATGTAAAGTTATATTAGATAACTTTATTCTTCACTTGCCTTTTAATCAGCCTTAGCAACGAAAATTGCCATACATATTCTTGGCATTCTACTTAATGACTTATCCAATTTGTTGAAGTCAATTTTATGCCACTAATTATTTTTTCCACATCTTATGCATCATTAGTTTTTGATATTACTTTTAATTCCTCCCATAAAAATCCCATTAGCCCATCATTCTGAAGGTGTAGCACAATTTTTTAAGTGTACATGTAAACTACTTTTGTTATTATTTAAGATTCTATTTTTATTCAGTCACCTATGGTATTCTAATCAAAACAGCCCCGCACTTTAACACTACATCCACCATGTTTTACAGTCGATAATACACACTATTTTATTATAAATTCAACTTTTTTTTTTTCAAACAAACAATCTTATCTTAAAACCAAAGATTTAAAACTTTGACACGTTGGTCCACGTTTACAGTCATTGATGGTCCATATATATATATATATATATATATATATATATATATATATATATATATATATATATATATATATATATATATATATATATATATATATATATATATATATATATATACATATATATAATATTTATATTGTTTGCTTTGATTTTTGTTAATTTTTATAGGCTCTCCCTCTGAATATGTTAGATTTGAAATTAATAAATTAGATGCTTTTTTCCATGGAACTGGAGATCTGTTTGCCAGCCTTTTATTGGCATGGTTGTATAAATTTCCAGAAAACGTCAAGGTTTTTTTTTAATATAATATTTTGATAAATTTTTTTCAATATATTCCAATTTTTTTTTAAAAAAATTGCTTATTTTTAAATGTTTTTTTTTTTTTTCATTAATTTGATTTTAGATCGCATGTGAGAAAACTTTATCAACAATAAATATGCTTTTAGCAAAGACTATTGAGCATTCGATTTCTCCTGGTAACATTTGTTTAAATTATATTATGTTATTTGTAGAAGAAAAAGTATGAAAAAGTAATTTTTAAGTGAACTTAAAAATTACTTTTTCATTTAATCACAACTTATAATAGCTAGATGTAAACTGGAATATGCTCTTTTTTTTTCACCTATCCATGAACCATGAAGACCGCTACAGTTAAGGAGGCTCCTTTAATTACAGCCCTTTCTCAATCCTATAACTCCGAAATACGAACTTTGACATAAAGGCCGCTGCACGGAGAAACAAGTTGAGCGTGGTACTACCAGGGGCGTTGTGGTCTATCCCCACACGGAACTTCTCGCTTATGAGGCGAGCGCTTTACCACTACACCACTACCGCGTGAGTTGCAGAGTTATAAGGGGCCAATATAAGATAGTTAAGCTATTTTAGTAAAGCAATAACTTATTTCTTGCTTTAAAAAAAATTATAATTTTGAAATTTGAACTTGTTATGTTTTGTCTAATTATAAAGAATTAAAACGTAAGGACAACGATGGCGCAAGACTGTTTTTCTGCGCTAATTTATTGAAACAGAATCAACAGCTCTAGTAAATTTAAAAGATATTTTCAGAACTGACTTTTATAGACTTTTTTTTTTCAGACTTTCAGAACTGCATATTATAGATATAATATGCAGCTCTGAAGGCAAAAAAAAAAAAACCTTTCATTAGATTTTCAACATACTAGACTTACATACTGTAACATACTGTTTCTTTGTTGTTAAATTAAAATTGTGTTTAAGAATAAGGGCTTGCTTTTATGTATAGTTTATTTGTCGAGGAGGGAGAGAAGCAGAAATGGGGATGGCATTTTTTGTCGCTACGCTAATGGTTAAAATTAAAAATTACGCATATTGCAGACGACTACCTGGTCAACAATTTACTCATTAAAGTAATCAGAATTGTTTATTTCATCACTATCAGAGTTTTAGATTTAATGGAATTATGTTTAATTAATTCTTCGGTTTGTTTTTTAAAAAAAATAGAAATTAAAAAAGATGATTTTTGATTTACATATTCATTTTTTGTGTGTAAAAAAAATTATTCTGATAACAAAAAAAAGAGTATATAAATTTTGAAATTCGAACTTTGTTTTGTCTAACTAGTTGATTATATCTAATTGCTTTAGATTCGTGTAAATACGAAGTTCCTTTATCTGCTCGTATGGAATTACGTCTTGTGCAGAACCTTACAATCATTTTAGATCCTCCTGAAATTTGCAAAGGAGAGTTAGTTCAAGTTTTAGATTGATTTTTTATTAAATGACAAATTTTTTTATGCAGTTTTTATTTATCATTTTTCAACTATGTAATTATATTATATTGATGTATTTTATTTTATCATAAATTATATTAATATATTATTTTTATTTATGTTTTAACGTAACATAATATATTATATTACATTTACTATTTTTTTGGGTGTGTTATATATATATATATATATATATATATATATATATATATATATATATATATATATATATATATATATATATATATTATTGCTATTATTATTATTATTATTATTATTATTATTATTGTTGTTGTTATTTTTCTTCATTTTTTATTAGCTTTTTTTCTTTTTCTTTTTCGTGATTATCTTTTTCATTAAAATTTGAAATTTTACCAATAACAAAAATGTTTTGAAAAAGAAAGAAATTAAAATTTCATAAAATCAGTTTTTTGACCGTCTTTGTTTTGTTTTGACTTATTTTATAACTAATGAGATGGTAATATATTCTTTTTTTATAAGTATCATAATGAAATAGATATGTGTATTTCAATCAAAACATTTATTATTAGAATTTTTTAAAACTAAAGTATTCATCCTCTCCTCTATGAATATTATTTAAACTAATTACATCTTAACTTTCAACAAAGTTTTAATTTTATCTCAATTTTCGATAATAATCTAGAAGACCAATCTAGTTTGACGTTAATTTAACCTAGCCATGTCACTATCTCATATTACTTAATTTTTTTGAAAAAACTCATTACAACTAAATAAAGCTTTAAGTGGCTCTGGAGATAAAGCTTATCAAGGATTATTTCCTCTTTGTAAAGTAAACCTTGATAAGCTTACCCTCCCGACTCCATTTTGCCGCAAAAAAAATTAAAATGCCTTCCTATTGTTATGCATATAACAAATTCTAATCGGCTGTAAGTTGATATACAAGTAAACTTTGAGAAATTTATTAAAAATTGTTAAGTAAAATCAATTTTAGTTGTGCAGCCGTGGCGCAGTGGTTAGTGGTTTGGCTCAGAACCAAGAGGTCCGAGGTTCGACGCAGGCTCTAGCCCAATAAAGTTTTAGCCCAAATAAGTGATATTAGTAAGAAAGGTGTAAACTTCATAATTAAACTCTCTTTCGCCGTACTCTGTGATAAGACCGTAAGGACATCTGAGACCATCTTATAAACTACAGAAAGATAAAAAAAGTTATAACAATTATAAAACATTTATCATTATCGCAGTCAATTTCGTATCTATTAAGTCAATTCGGATTTGAAAGCACAAGAAAAAATGTTTTTCGATCGGCGTTACACGTGTATTAAACCATAAAGGACAACAAAAATAAAGATCTCAAATTGTATATTAAGATTGATCAAAATAAAAAAGGTGTATTTGTTAATAATAAAATTGCTTTTTTATTTACCATTTAAATAAAGATTAAATTAAGTGTTAAATTAATTTTTATAAACAAATTTTAACCTTTTAATAATTTCCTCAAGGTATTGTCACCAAGGTAACCAAAAAAAAAAAAAGAAAATCTATTTCAATGTTATTTTAATTTTTAAAAGTATGTAATAGAGTAATAGGAGGTCAAATGAATTACTTAAAAGTTTTGATTTCTTATTGCAGGAAAAAGTTTTTTTAGTCTTTTCCTTGAATGAGTATTTCGACTTGTATTTAAATAAAATATCGAATAAGGAATTTTTTAAGTTTTTGAAGAAACTTTATTTGACTTAACTTCAAAAAAAACCTCTATTATTTCACCTACAGACCCCCAGAGTTTATATTTTCTGAACCACCTCAGAGGCCTAAAAATTCCAAAAATCACTTTTACAGGACAAAATTAATAACTCATCACATATGGAAGGTTAAAGGAACATATTCGGTATATATTCTAATTTGAGATTTGTAGTCCCAACAGTGGCTTTCTAGTTGCTATGGATATCTATATTGCTAAGCAACCAGATTACCTTGGCTCAGCAAACAGTCTTACCCAGGCCCTTTAAGAGGGATGGGGCAAAGGGGGAAAACTGACCCAGGCGCCAAGCCTTATAGGGCGCCGAGCAATCCGTTTTTGTTGTTGTTTTTTTTTTTTTTACAATAATTAGAAAATATTTCAATGACTGACAATATGAAATCTGCTTAGTTTTTAAAAAGTTTAGTTGTCGAAATTAAAATGCACATGAAAAAAAAAAAAGTTTAAATACTATTGTTAAAACTAATTATAAACTACTTTCTACAAGAAAATACGAATACGGAAACGGGCGTGTTCCGTAAGCCTATGAACAGTTAGCAATGCTAGCTCATGCTCGATTGTATGGAAGGTAATGCGCTGTGGTAATTTTAATGGTAACTGATCAAATATCACTTTAAAGCAGTCAAAACTAATAAAACTGAAAACCTCGTTAGGTAACGCGTTCCATGGGTTTGCTTCAACTTCTTGCAAATAAACAAACAGACGAGACATTTCACGATAAAAGCGCTACTCTTTTAGGTAGTATTCGACTGTTTGAAGTAAATGAGAGCATTTTTTAGACAAATAAGCGACTTTGTCTCTACCAGCACCCGGCCAGTTATCAAATACTTGAGTTTTTATATCTTTGCTGCACTTAATATGTGTAATTTACTTCACTCAATAAGTGTGATTTGGAAGGCTGTTGATCAGTAGTGGGCTTAAACAATCCCCCTGAAGCTGAGCTAAATAAATTTCAAAGTTAGAACAAGAAACTTTATATCTAACTGTGGAGAATGCTATGTTCAACTCGAATGCGGTAGTGGTGTAGTGGTAGAGCGCTCGCTTCATAAATGAGTGGTTCCGAGTTCGATCCCCACCACGTCCCTGGTAGTACCGCGCTCAACTCGTTTCTCCGCGCAGCGGCCTTGTTCGTCAAGGTTCGTGTTTCGGAGTTATAGAGTTGAGAGAGGGTTATAGCCACGAATAAGTAGCCTCCTCGTCTGTAGTGGCCTTCTCGGCCTTGAGGAGGTGAATTAAAATAAAAAAAAAAACTTGACTTGGTAATAATTACTGTTTACCCTTCTTCGTGGCCAGTTGTTTTGAGTCAAAAAGATCAAGATGTAGTTATTTAAAAAAAAAAAAAAAAAAAAAACCAGCACGAAAGCAGTTTTTACAAGTTAAGAACGATACTTGTGTGTTGAAACTTTTCAGATGAAAAAAGAAGTTAATATAGCTAAACTAATCACTAATGTCATTTTAAGGCTAGAAATAGATGTTCAAAAATATCGCGGTCAGGGACAGGATAATGATACCTGACATTGGAGCTTTGTAAGCACCAATATGTCAGGTGCTTACAAAGGAGCTCAAGCCTTAATTAGGCAAAATTATTCTCAAATTTATTAAAAGCTGTACGTTCCCGGTAACCCTCACTCCTGAATCAGTCATTGAGATCAAAGTATTCTTCAAAAATGCCGAAACTTAGTACTTATTATATAATGTAGATCTCTGTCAATGGACGATTCTCACTGAAGCAACTGGGATTTCACTGGGACTGCAAAAACTTTTTATGAAAACATAAAGCTCTGTTATCGACTTGATCAAACCTCTTGCCAAGAGAAATGTTGGCAGCTCTAAAACAAGTCGTGAAAAATGTTTGACCAGTGAGTAGCTGTTAGTCGTTTTCTACAATTTGCAACCATTACCATTGATGACAAGCTACGTTTGGTTGGGCAGCTGTTGGAAAATTTTAAACGGATTAGGGGCTCTTGGTTGAGAGTTTCCTAAGAGACTGTAGCTATAGCTGACTTGCTAGGATTTGAGGCTGAGCTCGCTACTAAAGGAAAGCGTAAGCTAAAGCACTTTCATGATGAGGCATCAAACAGCCTATTTCAACTTTAGCCAAACAAAAGTACTTAAAGTGAACTTTTTTAATGTTAGATAAGATAATCTGATCCAGCAGATTGATTCAAGATTTGAGACGAGAAAGATGGTTGGCAATATGTTTTTATTTGTCTGATTGGTTAATGATAAACTTTCTGTTTAAAATAAAGTATGAGAACTTGCACGGTTTTATCTGAGAGATGTAAAAGATTCTCATTGAAGAAGTTCTCCGTTTTAACAATGCCCGCTATTCGATCTAATCTTTTAGATGAAGCTTGAAAGCCTTTTTCCATACAGTTGTACCATTATTTAGATTTTCAACACTATTCACTAGTCAGTTTCTAAACGGTAACGATCGTTTAGTGAACTAAACTTGTAAAAAAAACTCTCTCCTTTGACCGTAGATCAGGATTGCGTTACTGATATTTGATTATTTTGACTTGAGAAGATTTTGGTTGAAAAGGTGAGCTACGACAATGCCATCAATTTTTAGGCGCCCATAAGCTCAAAAAATTTATTTTTAGACGCTTATTTACCTTTCTTGAAGGTTTCGTTGATTGATTTTTAAATAGTTTTAAAACTAATGTTTTGATCATGTCAAAGAACCATTTCTCAATGCAGATATTTAATAGTAATACAAAAGTACAATGTGCTGTATCAGAAACAAATAACTGCTGCGTTCAAAAAACTTTTAAAGTTTTAAACTTTTTAAATTTCAATGTCTTTAGTTGGTTTGAATTAAGGGCGCCGCTCTTCATTTTTGACCCGGGCGCTAACGGCGCTCTCGAAGGCCCTGGTTTTACCTTGCCTGTTATTAATGTTCGATATGTTTCTTTTTCAACACAAGGTCTGAATTGCATCTTTCAAAGATTCTGAATGGCTTTTTGTTTGCTACAAATAAAGAAGTTGGTTCAACTATTTTGAATAGTGAAAAGTTTTTATTTTCAATAATTATTTTGAAAAAATTTTCTTTTCAATAATGATTTAATGTTATAAAGCAAAAAAATTTTCTATTTATAACATTTTTACTCTTGCGCCCAAATAAAGTTTTGCGAATTATTTCGCGCAAAAAAAAATTCTAAAATTTTTTGCGCGAAATTGCAAAACTTTATTTGCGCAAAAAAACAAAATTCGCTATTTGAAAATCCGCTTTAAAGACGGATTTCCACGGAACAAATTTATTCGCGCGAAGCGAATTTTATGGTCAATAAGCATGCGCAGATAAAATATTTCTGTCAAAATTAATAGAAATAGAGGCTTTGTTTGTAACAGAAATAATAACATCAGGGATTTATTAACTGTTTGCCTAAATAAAGTTTGTACTGATGTTCAAGCGGAGCCGCATTTAATTCCATTAACAAATGAAAAATTTAATCTCAAAACTGCCAATACCAACGACGAAGCTAGATTGGATATAAAAGCAAAAGGGTTTTGGAGAAAAGGAGAAACTGCATTTTTTGATGTTAGAGTAACGCACGTAAACTCCAAACCCTCCAAAAAACAACCAACAAAACACATATTCCGTAGGCATGATGATGCAAAAAAACGTGAGTATTTAGAACGAGTTCTAGAGGTTGAACACAGGACATTTACCCCATTGATTTTTGGTACGAATGGTGGGTTTGGAGACGAATGCAAACGCTTCACGGCACTACACGCACAGAAACTGTCCTTAAAAATGGGTGAGCGGCATGGAGCTGTTATAAATTTGCTAAGGACACGTCTTTCCATGGAGATTAGTAGAGCCTCCCTACTCTGCTTAAGAGGGTCACGTACCCCATTTAGGCATTATAACACTAACGATGTTGGCCTGGAAAATGTGCAATGTGGACTTATTTAACTTGTATTTTAAAATTGTTTTATTACTCAAATCATTCCCAAATTAATAGAAATGTTTTATCTGCGCATGCTTAACGACGAAAAAAATTCGCTTCGCGCGAATAAATTAGTTCCGTGGAAATATCTGCCTGTAAAATCATAAACCACGGGTTTAAATTATGATCTGTTTCTTCGTTCATTGGTTAATAAATTGATATTGACAATTTCTGAGAAAACCTCGTAGATTCAAAAAATTTGATAAGACCAAATTATAATAACATAGTAGTTATAAGGTGCCTAAAAAAATTGAATTATTCAATTTAGACATAACAGACCGTAAAAATAGTTCTCCGTTTTTATTATCAACATAAAGAAAATAAAAAATAGTAAAATGGAAAAAACAAGTATATCACTAAACTTGCTTAGAATCTTATCTCAACTATATCCTACTAAAAACGAAGTATATAGTAAATTTTCTTTTAATTTTATTATATTTAGCTTATAGTAATAATAATATTCCATGTCTTATTTGTAATAATTAACCTTAAAAGTTATTAGTTTTTGTAAAAACTTTGTTTAAAAGAAGTTGGAATATTTTTCATTATTTACCAAATTTAGTTAGACATCTTATGTAATACTTGAGTTTGATAAAACTTTGGTAATACTTGAGTTTGGATTAGGTTCAGGGTTTTGTGTAGCTTCCATGATTTGTTGGAGGAATTAGATTTGTAGTAGGAGTTAGTTAAAAATTTTTATAATGAATTTTTACAATAGTAAAAAACAACCTCCAAAATCTTAGATTCCCATCTCTCCTTTCCTCTGAAGATTTATATGGTTACTTTGATTTTAGAAGAATGCAGCAAACCTGTTTCACTTTGTATAATCTTTGTGTTTGTTTCAGTGTTTTAACCTTGTATATACTTTTATTAGAGAACTTTTTAAAAAGTGCTTTATTTTTTGCTACCTTTTTAAGGTTTAAGAACTCAAAATATCTTTGAGTTCTTAAACTTTGAGATTATTATTAATATTAATCAATTAGTTAATTAGTAATTGCTTGTAGTGTTAGGCATAGATTTATGTAAATAAATGTGTTTCTGTTGTTATTATTATTATTGTTTGTATTGTTATTGCTCTGTTAATTCCATTATTATTATTGTTGTTATTATTATTATTATTATTATTATTATTATTATTATTATTATTATTATTATTATTATTATTTTTATTATTATTACACATATTGAACTACATTAAATGTGATTTTTTAAATATTAAACACTGGTTAGGTGATTGAATGCCAACTCATATTTATCAACTTAAATATAAGCACAAATTAACAGAATTATAAATTTTAATAATGATAAAACAGTTTAATATATGTTTTTGATTAATAAACTTGAATTAGTTATTATTTAGAATGAAATTTTGGATGTTATTTCAAAACCTCCGAAAAATACTGTACTGAGAGTAAATACTCTGAAAGTAACTTTGGATGAAGCAATAATTGTTTTGAATAATTTTTTAAAGGTAAATAACTTCTGATTAAATATAGTTTTTAAAATATTTAAAATACTTTTTAATTTTTTTTTATTTTGAGGATTCATCAGAATCATTGGGATTTTCTGTTTCAAAGCATCGATTATTTAGTGATGTATTGTTTGTATCATCATCTGAAGTGAAAGACCATTTAGCTATATACAATAAAGAAGTTATTGTTGATGTACACTGTGGTGCTGCTGTTTTAAGAGGAGCTCATGTTTTTGCTCCTGGTGTATTGGCGGCATCTGCAGGTACCTAAGTTATTTAAAATTAAAAAAAAATTATCAATACATATATTATGTACATAATATATATAAATTATATTATAACATTAAAATAGTCAATTGCAATATTTAAAAAAATTTAAAAATAGATATGAAGCAAGGTGATATGGTATCAGTTTATGCTGATGTAGATCATAAGTGCAGGCGTGGTTACACAAAAGTTTTTACCGGCAGAAAGTTTTTTATTGGTAATGGTCTAGCTGAATTTAATCGTGATACTCTCTTTGAACATAATGCAAAAATAATGTAATAATTTTTTTTAGTTTGAAATGTTTTTATAAATAAAATTTTGTTTAAGTTGTTTTCATTAAAAAGAAAAAATACTTGTTTATATGAGTACACTAGGTCAATAAATTTTTATCTATATAAGTAAAAAATCCATATTTTTTTATGCATTAAATAATATAAACCTTGTGTTCTTATGAAAATAAAAATGTTGTAAACAAATTTTTTCCATTTCATAATAAATATATATGTTTTAGAAATACCACATATTAACAAAATAAAAAAAAAGAAATCTGCATGATTATAGATAAAGTACTTTTTATAATGACTATTTTATTTAAACTAAAAACTTCTGATCTTTCATTGCCTATCAAAACTCTGAAAATCCAAAAATTTTTTGTCATAGATACAATAAGTATTTATAGTTAAATTTTAATGAGGTAGTGGTAGTATAAATAGTATTCCAAAATAAAAATAAAATAATTTTTATGATAAAAAAGACACTGTGAAACAAAAGTTATTTATGAGGGTCAAATTGAAATGGACTATTACATTTGCAAAACAAACCAAGTCTTGATATCAAAAACATTTCTTTAAGAGTTAAGCTAAATTTTGTTAAGTCTGTCACCCTTTTTAATTGGTGTTTATATATAACCCAGATGATAAAGTTACCAATAGATTGGAAAACAGAAATAATTAGCATAAGAGAGTTATTGTTATTATTATTATTATTTTTAATTATTATTATATATATATATTTGTTAAAACAAGGAGATACATGTTCTAAAGGACACATAGGTCCATGCAAAAGATGGACACTAACAGCGTGCCCTTACAAAAACTAAAAATGTACCATTACAAAAATGTAATAATCATAATAAACAGTGTTTTTTTAAATTGGAGTTATAATCTAACTAACAGGATTATTAAATAAGCAATAAAATAAAATGAATTGATAAGTAATAAATTAGAGATTGTAAATTATTTTACACTCTGGTGGGGGAGGGGGATGAGAGGTTAGTGGTTTTATAACAACTTATATAGGACTTGTTACTAAAGAGTTACTAAGTTGTGACTAACAAGGAGGGGGCGGGGGAGGGGTAAAAAAATGAAAAAATTGCGTGTTGTAATAATGGCCGACCCTATGTTTTGGATTTAAACTTTTTTCAAGTGGTTTAGCAAATTCTTTTTATAAAAGAAATAAGTATATATAAATAATAACCTTTTTTTTCATGGCTTTTGCTGCTTTTTAGAGGTGTTGCAGTTAAAATGCTTTCGATGAAAATACCTCAACCAAGCTTTTCTAAACTTAATCTCGAGTTATTTTTTCCACAAAACTTACCATCAATACTAGTTGGCCATATATGCAATCCACAAGATGGTGATCTTATTCTGGATATGTGTGCTTCTCCAGGTAATTAATTATCTTTAATTTTTTTTCTGTTTATTAAAAATATTTTTCAAGTTACATCAAAGACCAGAAACTAACTGCTTAATTGCAAATGATTAATTTTTAATATCCTATATATTGTATTTATAATAATTTTTTATACTACTTGTATCTTATACTACACTTCTATTCACCAGCAATGGTAAAAGACATATAGTCCATAGGTATTTAAAAAAAAAAAAAAAAGTTACATCAAAGACCAGAAACTAACTGCTTAACTGCAAAAAGATCTTTTTTTTTCTAGCAATAAAATAAACTAAAAAAAAAAAATTCTTTAAGTATCTTTAAGTTTAGTCCCAGCTTGGTTTTGAAGGTATTTTATTGTTCTTATGCACACAGCAACAATGAAACACATTTTGACGATGTTTGTTATTATTGTACTTTGGTGTAACTTTAAAGGTGTTTTATTGCTTTTGTGTATCACAGTGTGGTTGTAAAGGTATTTTATTGTAATTTTTATTAATCTGAAATTGATAGTTTTCTATTGCAGGGGTGGATCCAGCATTTTTTGGTCTTTGAGATATCTTCCTGACATGGAGTAAACACCAAATATTTATATGTTAATACTTATGTCAAATATACATGCTTTGCAAAAATTTGCATTGGTTGGAGTCTAAGAACAAAAAAAGCACTAAAATTTTGGCCACAACTGCCCCAAATGTGAGAGCGACAAGTTGACAAAATATATTTTTTTTACTTTTCTCAACTAAAGTTATATTCATGGATAAATTTTAAATTTCATACAATAATCTTTTAATATTCAAAAGTTATGACCATATGAAATTTGTAGACCCTCAAATTGAGGGAATTTAAATTTTATATGGTCATATTTTTCAAACGCTGAGAGATAATACTATGAAATTTAAAACTCATTTTTGTGTTAGTTTTGGCCAAAATGTCAGGGCTTTTTTGTTCCCAGGCTCTAATCATTGCAATTTTTTGCAAAGCATTCTTATTTGACATAAGAATAAACATATAAATGTTTGGAGTTTGTTCCATGTCTGGAAGTTAGTTATCTTAAGTAATAAAACAATCTGGATTTGCCCCTGTATTGCAATATTTTTATTGAATTTGCAAATGTCGTAATTTACATATAAATACAAAAACAATGGATATTATAAAGAAAAATTTTTAATTCAGCTAAAAACTGCATTAAGTGGATATCATTATAAAAAACTGCATTAACATTTCATAAAAACATCATTAAGCTAATATCAGGGATGTAGCGTGTTGGGTTTGCTCATCGCATGTGCAAACTGTTCTTATTTGTGCAGAAACTGATGTTCTTATTGTGCAGGTAATGTTATCTTAACAATATTACAGAACATGTTATATTATTAAGATAAAAGAGACTTAAAAGTTCTATAAAAGCATTATTCAAGTTCTATACAATTATTTCTAATAAATCAGTGTTTTTCATATTTTTAAAACTAGAAACTTTTGTCCCACATACGTTTATAGAATTGGTGGAGTAGGAAGCTCAAGATGCTACAACAATTTAAAATAAGTCACTAAAAGCATCAAGCTCTTTTGGAATGACTAAAAAGTATTTTTTTTTAAATTAATGTTATGATAGAACAAAACCCTTTTGTTTCGATCTGAGCATATATGCTAGGATGTAAATGAAGCATAGGCACAAGAATACGCAATGATCTTTCTAACATTATTATTTGGCACTGACTTATTTTAAATTGTTGTATTATAAAATCTCCTCTAGAAGATTTTATAATAATGTAAAATATTTTAATTCTTTATTTAGTATATAAAACTCTATAAGCAAATTAATAACAAGCACAAATATCTACTTCACCCACACATTTTTTCTCCAGCCACTCTGCTACATAGGCAGCAGAGCTCTCTTCAGTTTTTGAAAGGCTCACACCTTGAATTCAATTTTCAATTGAAGTCACATCTTCAAAACTGATTGGACTTTCACATGTATGATCTTTTTTATTGGGTTCTTCTTCTTCCACTAATTCTATAAACAATGCAGCAAATCGAATTAAATGCTTTTTAAAAGCAAAAAAATATCCCCAGTTGCCATAAAAGCATTTGCCCCTGTTGATTGTTTGTAAACAGAAAATTCTGCTTCAATTCTGTCACTTTGTAACTGACAAAGCAAGACGTTATCAAAACCGACTGAAAATAAATGCTTGCAGACAGCTATCAATCCTTCAGTGGTTTGCACAAGGGCGTTTTTAGTACCATGGGTAACACATTGAATTCGTTTGGTTTCATGCCCTGATTTCTTAGATTTAAATAGTTCTAAATGTATTTAGAGATTATTCTAATTTTTATCTTGCACAGATCAGTTGTGGTCTCTTAGTCTAATATTCTGTCTTTTTGCAGAAACATTAACAATATTCTACCAATCTAAAACCTACTAAATATAAAAAGGATGTTTCATGAGCTCCTTTTAGTTTCAAAGTAGCTATTACTTTCTTATTAAATATTTTTAAAACATGTTGCACATTCTGTAGTTGAAGTCTAAAAGGATAAACAGCAACATGGGATATAGGAACTGATTTCAAAATGTTATTTTTTTGATACAGGTTTTTGACATCAGAAAAGGAACCAATAGTTTCATTGTTAAGAGATAATTTTTGACACTTTTCAGAAATCCAGTTGTTATGCAAATATTTAAGAAGGTGAACTGTATCAAACAAAAGAAACCAAACATGCTGATCATCTAATGGATGAATGGTCTGACAGTAATTTTTTTGAAAATTTTGCAGTATTGCTGATTGATTTTATAATTATCTGTTACAGATCCTAAAATAATGGCACCATTTTTTTTAGCTAAAACAGCAGCTTCTTTCACAACACTGAATTGATACATTGATATTAGTTTGTGTACAGGTGTAACAGAAACCATTAAACTAGGTCCACCATGTAAGTGTTTCATCATTACACATAGCATAGAAGTTGCTTTAGATTCTGGATCATTATTTGCCATCCCATATAAAATTACGCCTGAATAAGCAACTGTTTGGTCTAATTTTTACTTCATCAACTATTAAAAAAGCATTTTTCTAATGATTGTTCTTTATTTTTTTAAATGTTTTTTGTAATAGAAGATCGATGTTTGTAGCAGAAATTATAGACTGCAGTTTTCGTTTACTTGGAAGCACTAAAAAATCATGAAGTTGATAGCAAAAAGCAATATTTTTGTTACACAATAGCAAAATTTTTGTTACACAATAGCAAAATTTTTGTTACACATTAGTTTAAATTGTCTTGTAATAAAATTCAGTTTCTTTTGCTTGATATCATCATTGATTTCAAATTCATGTTCTGAAAGAATAATTGTCACCTTTTCAATAATATCATTAACATGCAGATAATAATTATAAACTAAATTAACTGCTTCAAAAAACTGTGAGTAGAAGATTAAGAAATTGTTGGGATTCAAAAAGAAGAAAAAGTTAGTGGTGAACACAATGTACACTTATTGTAAACAATTATTGTGATGAAGCTCTCTTTAAAATCCTTTGACATAAAAATACATATGAATTTATCTTTTTGCTGAAATATTACAATATTTTCATACTTTTTGTGTAATTCTTTGTCAGGATAGAATTCAGAAAACCAATTTTTTTTGTCTTTTTTTAAGAAAATAATTAAGTTACTGATCCTCAGGCTTAGATTGGCAAAGCACTGACTGGTGTTGGTAGACAACATTAAAAATACTTGGTACACATAGTGGTTGAATGTAGCCACCAGGAAGCTTAATCAATTCTGTATTTTCAGGCCAATCTTTTTCACATATAAAAAATTTAGATGGCTCTATTACAAAATCTTTATGTGGAGGTTAATCGTTAATCCATTTCTGCTTTTCAACTTCATCTTTAGGTAATTTAAAAACTCTACACTTATAAAATTCCACATTTGTTTGGCATAATAAAAGAGATTTTCAAAAAATATTACTGTAATATTAAAAACACTTCCACTTTAATAGAAATGATGGCCTTCGCTACCGAATTCAGATAATCAAATTTTCGTGTCCTGTCATATAGTAGTCCTTGATCAAGAACTATATCTGCTCTCAAGCAATTCTTGGAAAAACTAGGAGTTTATGAATGTCATATAGATTAGATTGTCTTAACCAATACCTATGAAAATATCAATTTTCAAGATAAATGAAATTATCAATCTATGACAAGTGGGAGAATGGATTCTAAACAAGTGGGAGAATGGATTCTAAACAAAAATCTTTGTTAATGATTTTAGAGATTCTGTTGACATCAAGTAAAAATAAACTTCCTGAAATCGTCAAATGGAGAAAAAAAATTATCAACATGATTAGCTCTACGTAGACTTACTTTTTGCTCATGAATATTATATGCACTGAAAAAAGATCAAATTTAAGTATTTGACATATTTAATAAGCATTTGACATATTCAATAAGTTTTAGACATATTTAATAAGTATTAGACATATTTAATAAGCATTAAACATATTTAATAAGTATTAGACATATTTAATAAGTATTAGACAAATTTAATAAGTATTTGACATATTAGACATATTTAAGTAATAAACATACTTAATGAGCAATAATTTGATGGGTTGACTGCTGAATTTGTGGGATGCTACACCATATTTTGAATCTTGGCTCTGAATTCATCAATCAGCTGATGATAACAGAGTACAACCCACCACCACAGTTCCATCTACTAAAAATCATTTTAAAAAAAATTACTGGGATAGAAGGTAGAATGGTGCAAGCTGATTCTTGAAATTTTACAAGCACATCACTGGTTAACATCTTATAAAAAACTGCATTAAGTGGGACTTACATAAAAAAAACTGCATTTACTAGAGATCATTTATAAAACTGGATTAATTATCATTTAAAGTGGTTTTGGTTATTATTTTTGATTTTTTATTGTTTTCTTTTATTCTTATAAAAAGTGCAAAATCCTAAAGTGAACTCAGTAGTTTAAAGTCAATTGCTAATTATTTTATAAGCCTTTTCAATCCTGGAGCTCCTAATTAGAACTTTAAAACTTTATACGGAAAAGCATTTAAGTAGAGCATTTTGGGAGTTTTAAAACATGTATTGAAAAATGTTTGTTAGTGATTGCATGACTTTCTCTTCATGTATAATAGATTCAAGGAAACATGTTTTTTATTTTTATATAAAATTTAGCAATTCTAGAAATAATATGTTTATGAAAAATATGAAATACACCTGCCTTAGTCAAGTAGTCTTTCTCTCTTTTTTTGCTTTCTCTATATTATAGTTTAATTATTATTTGAAAGATATATTGTATATTTTTTAAAAGTTATATAATTTATAGAAAAAAGGGCCAGGATTCTGGTCTTTTGGTTCTTTTGACCAGAATCAAACATTTAACTTACCAGAACCCTGGTTTTTTATAAGGGATGACATTAATGACTGACTAAGATTCTGGCCAAATAATATCATCCCTCTTAAATCTACTAAACAAGAGATAAGTAAATCTTTTTTTAAGCAAATCCATTTTTTTAATGCAGGAAAAATATTTAAGGATATTTTGATTTTATTATTCAAGTTTTATTTTGTTTTTTAGGTGGAAAAACCTCGCATGTTGCTGTACTGATGAAAAATCAGGTGCTTTTTTTTATTAAAATGTCATATGAAGTGATTCAATAAAGTTATTTCTAGATAGTTTGACTAGTTGTGTTTATGTCATAAAGAAATATTAACACATTAGTTTTGAGACCTTCAATTTTTTAATATCTTCCATTTCAGTTTCTAATAAGATTTAAGGTTGTGCGTCATCTTATGCAAACCTGTCTTGTAGATATAGATGGGAACCTGTCTCAGGATTGTTTCCTGTTTTGAATGATGATTGCTAAGCTCTATTATTCACATGCTTTGCTTAAGCATATATTAAATTATCAATTCACCTTTTATTGTGAAATCAGGTTAAAATTCTTGGAATATTATTTTATGTGCTTTCACTTTTCACCTCTGATTAATTACTTTTCTTTTTGTTCTTTCTCTCTTTTTTTCACTTTTATAAAAGTTGATTCTGATTAAGAAACTGATTAAAATTCCTCATTTTCAGTCAATATTTTTTCTTGTTGACTTTAATTCTCATCACACTTAATAGCTCTGATTCTACTAGTCAGTAGTATTAGAGTGGTACTTCTATCTTACTAAAAATTGTCTTGTATTATATAGACAAATAAAAGTTTTTGGAGCACTTAGGAACAGTCACAGAAAAGGATGAGACTTAATTGAATGACGAGTAACACGAGAGTAAATTTTAGTAGATGGCACAAGAGACGCTAGCTCTTTAGAGCAGTGCCCATTGTAGTATTTGTAGAAAAGAGAATGAGAAACAACATTACGACGATGTGATAATGGTTGAAGGTTGGCTGCAAGAGCAGGTCCAACTATGTTTATAATGCATTTTTGCACTTTGTCTAAAAGAGAAAGGGCATCATTAAATGATCCACACTAGATATGGCAACAGTATTCCATACAAGGCCGAATTTGAGATTTATAGGGATAGAGAATAGAATCCAGAGTAAGAAAGTGTTGAGCTCGATAAAGAGATGCAACTTTAGCAGATGCTAATTTTGCAACAGATTTGATATATGGTTTCCTAGAAAGATCAGAAGTAAGAGTTAATCCTAGAAGATGAAGGGTAGATGACTCATCGAGTACATTATATAGGAATAAATATAGGAAGTTCTAAATTATTGTGATAACGGTTGGCTGAAAAAAATTGAGTTTTATCTGAATTAAGGTTCACCAGCCACTGTGAGCCCCATGCTGTAGCAGAAGTGAGATCCTTTTCAAGCTCAAATGCCCCCTCCAAGCAATCAGAGAGTTGGCTTCTCATCATGACAAGAATAAATGGTTGTATCATCAGCGAACAATGTCATTTTAGATGAGAGAATATCTGGAAGATCATAAGAAAGCTTATGGAGAAGACCAAGTTATTAAATTCATTAGAGATGAGAGATTAAGTGCTTGTTAATGAAAGATTCAAAAACCTTGCTTATGATAGGAAGAACACTATTGGGACAGTAGTTAGACGAATCAGATCGCTCTCCAGAATTTTTAAAAATAGGGATAACAGATGCTGCTTTCCAGCAGGCTGGAAACACAAGACTCTGATAAGCACTTGTTAAATAGTTTTGAAAGGATAGACGACTGCTCCGGAAAACACTTCTGCAAGACTTTAGCAGGTATGTTGTCTGGGCCACAAGTTGTAGAAGAGTCTAAGCAGGAAATCACTTTAGATGCAGAAGCTGGAGTGATACAAATATAAAGCCATGGATCAACCTGTTTGACGGCTATATCAGATAAGACGCAACTTGTGGAATCAAGAGACGATATTGATGAAAAGTTCTTAGCAAACAATTCAGCTTTGTCTTTATGTGAGGTGATAAAGTGTGAACCATACAAAAGAGGTGGAATTACAGACTTGCCCTTATTATTGATACTTTTAAAGATTCTCCAGAAGTCATGAGAGCCTAATTTTTGTGATGAGGTACAAGGTTTCATGATCTGAGAATAGCGGGCTTTGGCATTAGACAAAACCTTTTTACAATGGTTCCTAACAGTAATAAACAGATGTCTGTTTTCTGGAGAATTGTTTTGCTGATAGATATAGAAGTAAGGTTCCGGTTAATAATTGCAGCATTACAATGTGAGGAAAACCATGGAGAAGAGTGAGGCTTGACCTGGAATTGTCAAGAGGGAATAAAGGATTCCATGCGTGAATCTACAAAGTTAGGTAAGAAGCATATTTCACGCTGGAATCAAAAGATTCCATCTCTTGATTCTAGTGTGAATCCACGAAGTTAGGTAAGAAGCACATTTGTCAACAGGAAGACAAAAGATTTCTACCCAAGGGCCATCATGAAGAAAGTCACAGAAAGAGTCCCAGTCAGCTTTAAGGTTGTTGTAAGATGTACGATGATAGGGGGATTCTGATGATAAAGAAGAATGAGATAATAGTTTTAGAGAGATCAAACTGTGATCAGAGGCACCTAAGGGTGAATGTGGAGAAACTGAGCACTGACTAGGATCAGAAACAAGGCATAAGTGGAGTAGAGAAGGTAAATGATTGGGGTTGTCTGGAAAGCAAGTTGGAAAGTTGACTATTTGAGTTAGGGATTGAGAAATGCAAAAGTTGTGGGCTTTAATGCATGCAGAGTCACTGACCAAGCCATTCACTGTGATGAATATTAAAGTCACCGACAACAACAATATTGGCTGATGGATGAAGAGAGAGGGCTTGGTCAATATGATCAGAAATAAGATGAAGGAGAGCGATTTAGAACAAAGAGAAAGGTGATAGAGTGAAGTGGTGCTAAACAAAAGCACATAAAAGAGTAGTCTGTGGATTCAAACCAAATTTCCCGACAAATGGGTGAATTCTTATGAATGTAAATGCCCAGGCCAAGCATGTGACTATTGGAGTCTTTATGAATTAAAGGAAGATAACCATCAACACTAAGATCATAAGATGAGACAGCTAAACTCAAATTAGTCTCACAAAGAGCAAGTAAGTCTGGTGAACTTTGCAAGAGATAAGACTTAACAGAAGAAAAGTTACTTCGAAGACCACGAATATTAGTGAATGATAGGTTTAGCGAACTTGGTGATGACAGTGGTGATGACAGCTTTGGTAGTAAATTTGTGTAAAAAAAATTAAACTTTTCAAAAACATTTACGTAAAGACAATAGTTTTTAAAATATTTAAAACATCTTAAACATTTGATAGAGTTACAAATAAAACAGAGTAATTTTGCTAATATTATTAATGAACTTGATTTTTATGGATTTTTTTTTTTTTAATTTTTTAATTTCCTTTTAATTTTTTATTTGATTTTTTAATTAAATAAAAACTGTTTCGAAACTTAGTTTTAGAATATCACAATTAAAATCAAGCATGCTTTGGCACAAGTTTTGAATATTTTAGCTTTTAGTACTTTTTGTAGCTTTTAGTGAACCATGTTTTTTGGGTATTAATATAATATAAATATTTTAGTTGAAGTTTTATTTTTACTAATGAAATAAAATACAATTAGAAATACTTAAGGTGTGCTTGATTGATCTTGTTCCAAAATTTCTTTAGTTTAGAATCACAAAATAATATTTGTTACTCTTATTATTTTTATTCTATTGTTGATCACCAATGTTGATCACCAATGTTGATCACCAATGTTGATTACCAATGTTGATTACCAATGTTGATTACCAATGTTGATCACTAATGTTGATCACCAATATTGATCAACAATGTTGATTATCAATGTTGATCACCTATGTTGATCACCAATGTTGATCACCAATATATCCTTTTGAGTTTCTGTGTTACAATTTTGTTGAATCTCTTATTAAACATTGTCTACATTGTTATTGTTTGGTTCTGTTGCACTACATCTTAACATACTAAGTAAATCCAAAATAAAAACCAATTTATTAATTTCGACTAAAATGATTACAAGTTGACACAGACATCAAAGTATGTGATAAATGTTCGAAAAGGAAAAAAAACTTTTTAATGAGTGTAATTAAAAAATTAATGAATGGAATTAATGAACAGTATTAAAAATAATTAAACTATAGTTTAATTATTTTTTATTATTTGTTATTACTCAATAATAACTTAATCTTTTTATTTAATAACATTTAAAGTTTAAAAAATGCCATAGAAAAAACATCAAACATTGTTCATGCATTGATTTAACAGCTGCAATCAATGTTATAAGTTGTTAAGAAAAATATTACAAAACATACAAATGAAGATTTAATGCATTAGTAGATCTATGCCAACAGATAAGAACAACAACATAATAAAAGCATCTTGTAAAACTTTTACTAAACAAAAATTATATTTTAAATATAATTTTTGTTATTCCTTTTTATATTCAATATTAAAATACAAAATGAAACTAATTATATCATACTAAATTTGATTTTGTATTTTTATTCATTTCTATGGAAAAAAATAGTTATAAAATTCAAGAAATCAATTTTAAATATAAATTAAAAAGTATAAATCAAAAAGTAGGGATAAAATGTTTATGTAAACTCACATAATTACATGGTGCTGATTTATATACAAACATACATACATACATACATACATACATACATACATACATACATACATACATACATACATACATACATACATATATACATACATACATACATACATACATACATACATACATACATACATACATACATACATACATACATACATACATACATACATACGTATATATATATATATATATATATATATATATATATATATATATATATATATATATATATATATATATATATATATATATATATTTGTTAAGTTGGTTGGTGTTTTTTTTTTGGATTTTTAATTTAAAAAATTGAAAATAATATTAGTTATTAATAAACTATTAATTTAGGGAACAATTATTGCAATCGATAAATCAGAGAAAAAGATTTCAAAGATAACAGAAAACTGTGTGATAATGGGTTTAACAAATGTAAAATGTTTTGCTTATGATAGTTCAAAGTTGTGTTGCCATGAGGCTTGTGATAATTCAAAGTTATCTTTTGATGAACAAAATAGTAAAAATTTTTATGCTTGTTATTTTTTTTTTTTTTTTTTTTTGAAGATTTGTTCTAAAGTTTATTTTTTCTCAAAGTTACTTTTGTTTTTAGAAAATGATTTAAAGCCTCCATTTCCACCTTGTTTTTTCGATAAGATACTTCTAGATCCTCCATGCAGTGGAATTGGACAAAGACCCCAACTTCGATCTGTTTTAACTGATAAAGAGTTGCAATCATACCCAATATATCAAAAAAAGCTATTTCAACAGGTAAAACCATCTTTGCTAAAGGTCTTGTTTTATCAAAAGTTAAAGAAAAAATTAAATATGCATATATCTTAAAAAAAAAGTTCATCAAAAAGGGTCAAGTAGTACCCAATATTTAAAATGGTCAAGTAATACCCAATATTTAAAATGATCAAGTAATACCCAATATTTAAAGACCTATATATACTATTAATGGTAAAATTGATTCAAATATTGCCAATGTGTTTTTAAGTATTTTATCAATGTTTTGTTTAACACCTATGATTTCACACTTATGTTGTTTGAATGGGTTTCCATAATGCTGTTTTATTCAAATATGGCACTATGGAATAGTTAAAGCAGTTTTTTACAACCTAAAATCCTTCTTGACATTAACTTGTTAACTTTTAAATTAAAGATGAGTATTTTTTATTGTGATACTACTATAACGATGGTTATCCATAATCCATATTCCATAATAAAGGTACATCCATAACTTAACTGAGGATTTGATATCAGAGTTTTCTATCTAGGTTTTTACAGCTATTAAAAAGTCTGACCTGTCCCAATATAGGATCAGTTTAACATCATGACCAAGACTAGCTATTTGTTAAAATTAGTTTAACAATTTACAGTAGGATCAGTATCAGCTTTTTATTGTTCATTGGCATCAGTATAGATATTGGCCACAATGGTATGGTTGTTACATTACTGTTAAATAGATTTTCAGAAATTATAGAAAGCTTTAAATAAAGTTTATTTGTAAATTTTATTTTTAACAAAATTTATAGAATCATATCATAAATAGAATCATATGAAATAAGAATATTTTCTTAAATGCTCTTAGTTCATCTCACATAAAATTTCCTAAATCTGTTTTACAAAAAATAAATTTAAACAGTTATTCTTTTTACTTATTTTGAAGAAGAATTTAAAAAAAAAATTTTAAGGTTGTTTTTTTTTAATATGAAATAATATAAATTTATTAAAAATTTTAATCAACACAGTTTTAGCTCATGATTTCAGTTCATGGTTTTATTCTATAGTTTTATTTTATATTTTCAGTTCATGGTTTCATTTCATAGTTTTAATTTATGGTTTCAGTTCATGGTTTCATTTCATAGTTTTAATTTATGATTTTATCTCATAGTTTTGGTTTATGGTTTCAGTTTATGGTTTCATTTCATAGTTTTAATTTATGGTTTCAGTTCATGGTTTGAGTTTCATTTCATAGATTTAATTTATGGTTTCAGTTCATGGTTTTATGGTTACGCTTGAAAAAATTTTAAAGCTATTTTTAAGACAAAAAGTTTAATAAGAGCAAAGTACTGTAACTTTTATTTTTTTAGGCAGTGTCACTTTTAAAACCAGGTGGGCGCCTTATTTATTCAACTTGTACTCTTCTGCCTCAGGAAAATGAAGAGCAAATATCCTGGGCTTTAAAAACATTCAAAGAATTGAAGTTATTAAAGCAGGTAAGAAGTATAAATGCTGAATGTAAACGTTAAAATATAAGTTGATTAAGTGTTTAACTTTTTTTGTGTGTTTTATTTTTTTTAATTTATATGATCCTAACAATATTAGCTTCTTGCTATTTTACATGTATTACCTTTAGACTCTTTAACTTTTTTACATATACTCTAGGTTTCCTTTTCCAGGTTCCATTGTTTAGAATCACTCATGCAACAGAATACTAGATTAATAATATTTTAATTACTTGTTATTTTTAGCAAAAAAATTTAAACTAGATAGCAGGGTTACTTAATTAAAAAATTAGGATTATCTTTTAGAGATAAACAGAAAGATTATTTTATAGAGATAAACATTGAGAGATTATCTTGTAGAGATAAATATAGAAAGATTATCTTATAGAGATAAACAGAGAGATCATCTTTTAAAGATAAACATAGAGAGATTATCTTTTAGAGATACACATAGTGAGACTTTCTTATAGGGACAAACATAGAAAGATTATCTTATAGAGGTAAATAGAGAGATTATCTTTTAGAGATAAAAAAGATTTTATAATAAGAGAGCTGTTATGAAAATTAAGACAAAATGTAGGATAACAAAAAACAATTTTTAGTAAATTAATTTTTTTTTTTTAAGTCCTAACTTTACAAGGAAATTGTTTTAATACTTTCGGATTTTGACTAAGACCATTTAAGAAAACGGTTTAACTCAAACAGATTTTTGAAGTTTGAAATAAAGCTAAAGTTCAAAAATGGATCCTTAAGGTGGATCCGTAGTAAAAAACGATGCAAAAAAAATGATTTTTTCTTTTAAATTAAAGTTTTTATTTATCTTTCAGAAGAAATAGATTTTTATTCATTATTTACATTAAAAATCTTTTTAAAACAATAAAAATTGTCAATTTTTGTTAATAATTGTCTATTGCAACGCACATAGCAACTGCAACTGGTTGTCGATTTATACTTTTTATCTCTTATAAAATCTAAATAATCGATATCTGTGTTATTTAAAATATATCCACTATCTTTTAAAATATTCTATTTTTATGTTTTTCTATTATTTTATTCGCAGGTTGCTCAACTAAAATCTTTACATTTCTTTTGCAATTTTTCTCCATTGTTCTTTTTTCAAATGTAGTTTCGAATCTTAGAACAATGATGAAATCCGCACATTTCAAGACTTCTTGGGGCCTGGGACTATTTTTATTTTTGGAGGCCTTTTTATGGGCCAGAGCCAAAAAATGACTCAGGCCCCTAAATTTGCGGGGCCTGGGGCTATAACCCCCTAACCCCCCTGATCCGGCACTGGATGTGGCCACATGCTTTTAAAACAAACGTACTAATGTTATCATCACCCAAGATTCTTGTGGTGATATTATGAATGAAATAAAAATACATAATATAGATCAATTTTCTATGATAAATTTAGACAATATCTACGATAAATTTACACGGTTTCTACACAACTTCTATTATAAGTTTACATAATTTCTATGATAAGTTTACACGAATTCTATGATAAACATAAAAGAACATTATTGCTGATGTAACTATTATAATGCTTAGTTTTATTATTTACTATATATTATTCTTAATAATTATCTATTTTGTTATAATGAATAACTAATTATATATTTGTTATAATTAATAATTAAAAAAATTGCCTGATTTAGATGTCTAATTTTGAGTCTTATAATTTATTTTTGAAAAATAATAATGAATTTATTGTCGGTAGTTTGCAATAGATAATATTCAAATAATTTCGAGTTACTATATTTATATTTATTTTGATATTGGGAAAATCTTTGATTTTTCAGATTTATAGATTTTATGTTTGTTTAATTTAATGCAGGATATAATCATTGGAAGACCAGGTCTCAACAACTACGGGTTATCCCCTGAAGAATGCGATAAAGTTCAAAGATTCGATCAATGTTATTTGAATTCCCTAGAAAATGATTTATATAGAAGTCTTGAGTTTGATACAATAGGCTTTTTTATTGCTTGTCTAACTAAAATCAAATATTAATTTTAATTAGTTTTGATTTATCTAATTGTTGTTATTTTTGTGTCAATGTTACGTTTATTTTTTTGTAAGCTTTTTGTGTTTTCGTTATGCTGTTTTTGTCATTCTTTAGTGATTTTTTTTAAGGATTCTTTACTGTTAGAGAATATAAAATAGTTTTTTTAAAACAAAAAAAAAATCATTTCGCCAAGACTTGCTACCGTTTTCTTTTTTTTTTTTTTTTTTTTTTCTCTATTTTTTTTTTTAACTAGTTTACTTCCAACAAGACTGCAAGCCCCCACTAATAAGTTGGGAGTTACTTGAAAACAAAGAATATCGGTGAAGAGCAACGAAGCGGTTGACAGAAGTCTTGAAAAGTTGCAAATTGTATGAGTCGGGAGATAAAGATGGGAGAACGTTCCATAGCATTGATGTTCGAGGAAAAAAAACTAGATTAATAAAAGTTTTTGGAGCAGGACAGTAGGCAGGTTTGTTTTTAGGGGTAGGAAAATTACAAGTTTGCCACTGTTTTTTCATTTTATGTTGTTATACATGACTTCCAAAATAAGTATTAAAAAATTTCAATTTCCCTGTTCTCCCTAGGGGTTTAAAATCTGGTTTAAGTACTGGTTGAAGACGGTTAATTCCGCTTGTACATGGATTACATATTTTTTTTACAATAAGGCGATGCGATGATTGATGACGATATTATAATGAACGAGAGTGTGTGTGTGTGTGTGTGTGTGTGTGTGTGCTCATGATTCTGATTAAAAAAATGAACAGAGATTATGAAACCTCATTAGTCTGTGTTAATAACTGTTGTGAAAGAGCTATTAAATTGTTGAAAGACATTATTGATTGAGCCATTAAGGAGGACAAATTGCAAAACAATTGTTTACTTGTTTTGAAAGAAAACAGAAATAATTTTCTTTTTAATAAATGTAATGTTCATTTATCAAATATTTATAGATATATTTAGAGTTCATTTATCCAATATTTACAATTAATGCTAATATTATTAGCTTTGTAGTTTTCAAAAATTCTATAAGTCTTAATTTGCGATGGATGGAGTATCATTGATGATACCATTCTTGATCACTTGGTTTCTTTATTGTTTAGTGTTATAGCTTTCTTTTTTATAACTTTCTTATTTATAATTAATGAGCTTTTCTGTTTGTTTGTTTTTTCTAGCCTAACTTAAGTGAGTAGCTTAACTCGCTACACAGTGCACTTTGAGCATCAGCCAAAGTTTAGATGATTCCAGGTTTCTAATAAAGTAAGTGATACGGATTCAATTGAATAAACATTTTGAGGTTTAAAAAAGTTGCTGCTTGTGGAATTGCTGCAAGGAGTATGTGTTTGTGTTAGCAAAAGTGTTAAAGTTAAACAAGCGCCAGCAATTTGATCAAACTGGTCTATCAGCTGTTATAGATAAGTCAAAATCATAGTTTTTAAACACTTGAAAACTTTATGGCCAGATATTGCCCTTAGCAAAACCAGCAAAACGTCTACGTCCAATAAAAGTAACTGGATTCAGAAGTCCAAATATAGTAACTGACATACGTTCAATAAGTTACTGTATTGACTACTGTATTGACGCCCTACAGCAGTAACTGAAATGTTTCTTTGGAAGTTAAGAATAGCATAATAATTCTAGACTGAGTTGCATAGCTTAGAACTTTAACACTTTTTGCCCAAGAAGAATTCCATTCACACAGAGGATTAAGAAAATAAATCTTGTTTAATTTACGAAGTGTTTTAGATATACACATTGCTGGACATGACATAGCTGGTGTACAGGGCTGGTTTAACCATTAGGCAGCCGCCTAGAAAAAAAAAACTAGATTAATAAAAGTGTTTGGAGCAGGAAAATAGGCAGGTTCGTTTTTAGGGGTCGGAAAATTACAAGTTTGTCACTGTTTTTTCATTTTATGTTGTTATACCTGACACTTTCAAAAAGAGTATTCAAAAACTTCAATTTCCCTGATCTTCGTAGGGCTTTTTTTTTTTTCTTTTTATATGTTTTATGCGGAATGAAATTTTGTGGTAACTAATACGATGCGACCTTTTCATTACTCATTTATAGAAAATTAAGCACGTTTGCAAGGTGTACATTGCCACTAGTTTTAATAAATTTTATATCAAAAAATAATCTAACCGATTGTGCTCCCAACACTGTTATTTAAGAATCCTCTTGACACTTCCAGTTTCCGTGACTAGCGGTGAGCGAAGCTTCTCAAAACTCAAACTGATAAAACATTTTTGAAAACGTCTATGCAGCAAGAAAGACTTGTTGGATTAGCTACTATGTCAAGTCAACATGATATTATAACATTGAACTGAGGGTACTCGTTTCTACATTTGTAAAAATAAAAGGGCTAAGTGAAGTTTTAGAATTATTTATTAATATATTATAAAGTTACCCGAATATATGTTTATTTAAGAATATGCATGTATATATTCATCCAAATGTAAATACAAAATGTAATAACATAACCTTTTATGAAATTTATGAATTCTGAAATAACATAACATAAATAATGAATAACATAACATAAATAATAAATACCATTACCCTTTATAAAATTTATGCATTCTTTTATGAAAGTGAGTTGGGGAGGGGGCGCAGTGTGTCAGATTCGCCAAGGGTGCTAAATACTCTGGCGCCAGCCCTGCTGGTGGATTTTTTTAAATTTAATTGCTTTTCTTAAGAAAAAATTTAAAAAATAAAAAAATATGACGGTATATCGCGACGTTAGAATCTCCACATTTTTTAGTTTTGAGATAAAATGATTTAAAAAATAAAAACTTTAGGAGACAGTATATAAAATCTTTTTTAATACTTAAGTTTAAATACATTAAAAAAATAGTATTCTGAGGTACATAATATTATCAATAACTAAATTTTTTAAAAAGTAGAGAATTCTAACGTTGCGATACTTTAATTAGATCTAATTGTTTTTCACTTTTTAATATTTGTAAAGCTCGATTTAGAATGAAAGCACATTACAGCTTAGTAATAAATAGCTCTTTCTTTGTATATTTTAATTAAATTACACAAAGCACTAACATGTTTGACGTTATATATTTTGCGACGTTAGAATTATCTTTTTGGAGTGTTCGCGATTTTCGGAGTGTTTGCAATTTCGGAGAGTTCGCGATTTCGGAGTGTTCGCGATACGATTGGCACGTTTTTCACGTGCAAATAGACTATATTTAATTATAGTCTATTCGCACATTTAATTAAAAAAAGGTAAAGATCATCGAATTTAAAGGCAATTAAAAAAAATATATGTTTACTATTATTGGTTTTTAACATAAAAATTAAACTAGCGCAGTGGAGAACTAACGCAGCACTTACGTTGATTGACTTTTAAAGGATATGCGCACCGTAGTGTATATACCGTAGTGTATACATATTGACTGCTTATCTAGGGATAGGCACAGTGTAATTTAAACACAATGACGAGAGTTTTGGCTTGGGCAGGCAATCTTTTAATTAAAAAAAGAAGTATTTCTTAATGTTTATTTTATCTATTGGCACGTTTTTGTTTGTTTTTTGAATAAAAAGTTAAATATGTTTAAGTAATTTTATTTATTTTTATTATAATTGATTAAAAAATTTAATTGCTTTCAAAATATATGACTTAAGCTATAAACATTTTTTGTTTGTGAGAGATTTAATATTAAAAATCAAACTTAAATTTTTTTTTAAACGTGCGATTAGACTATAATAAGATATAGTCTATTAACACGTGCGTGCAAATAGATTCACCCTTATCTTTTTCTATCTCCATTTTTTGAATAAATTGAGTTATTGAGTGTGTTATGTAACTCAGAACAATATTTTTCTACTGTATTGAAACTTAGTTGTAAGTAAAAAAGTTGCGAAGAAAACATAAGTTCTAAAAAAACTATATATATATATATATATATATATATATATATATATATATATATATATATATATATATATATATATATATATATATATATGTATATATATATATATATATATATATATATATATATATATATATATATATATATATATATATATATATATATATATATATATATATGTATATATATATATATATATATATATATATATATATATATATATATATATATATATATATATATATATATATATATATATATATATATATATATATATATATGAAATGGTTCTGATGTTGCCAGCAATTGAGCATGACTTCCTAACTGATCAACGCACTATACGTGTTGGCAGAATAGCTGGAATTGACAAGAAGGAATCCGCACGTGCTGAGAGGCGTTTAAAACGAAAATCTGTTTCATTATCAAAGGAAGAGACTGCATTTAAGTGTGCCAGAGTCGTTGAAGCATCTGATAATGAATCAGATAATGAAGCAGACAACAATTCTGACACCGAAATTTATTCCCCATCCGTATCAGATGTCGATACCGAAGTCACATCTACTCGTCTGAAAAATAGTTGTTTAAAAAATATTACTCTACAAGCAGATGGTTTTGGCATATCAGATAGAGCAGTTGCCGCGATTGTATCAGCAACTCTGGTTGATTTTGGTATAGAACATATGGGGCCAGTGGATCGGAATAAAATTCGCAGAGAACGAAAACTACTGAGAACATCCTGTAAAAATGCTGATTGTAGAATTACTGGATTGTATTTTGATGGAAGGAAAGATTAGACTTTAAAACTTGAGGGGGATAGGCAGACTGTGATTTCTGAGTAACATATTTCCATTTTATCGGAGCCAAATTCAAAGTATATTGATCATTGTACGCCAACAAGTGGATCAGTCAAACCCATTGCAGATTCAATAATTGATACTGTTGACTGCACGAACCTTGTTTGTATTGGTTCTGATTCAACTAACGTTAATACTGGTTTAAACAATGGAGTTATACGCAGAATGGAAATTGAACTTGGTCGACCACTGCACTGGTCCATTTGTCTTTTACATCTGAACGAGCTTCCTTTGCGACATCTTTTTCACTCCTTAGATGGTGCAACAACTGGACCCCATTCATTTAATGGAC